TGGAAAGGCTTCCTTGAGCAATTGTTTTTATCTGGTTATAGGCAGCCTTGATAACCTAGGATAAATAAGTAAAAGTTGGTCATCTTTGATCAGTGTCAGTCTCCTGCAGGAATCAAATGCTCCTTTACTAAGGCAAAACACTAGGTGGTTAGTTCCAGAGAAACAGGAGTGTTGCTTTGGAATTCTATAGTCACTATATGTTCCTTATTCTTCCTATGCTCCACAAAGCAGCTGTTTGTATACCTTACAGTTTCCAAGTGTTAGTTATACAAAAGTAAAGTGGCAGATGGCAGAGGATGGCTGAATAGGATGGCTCTTCCTTTAGGGAGAGCAAACACATGGATCTCTAATCACCTATAAAGACTAAGCACCTCTAAAATTTCCCCAGACTTGGGGGAATTGCACAGCATCATGCAATTAAAACTGCTATTTCTTACTATTCACTAAGGAAGTAGTAATCCATACACTGTCAATGTGCAAAGCTTGGCCACAGCTGCAATACCAGAGTCAAGAAGAAATCAAGTTCCAATGATTGGGCACTGGGTAAGTATTTGCTGAATAAATAATTTTTTTTTTTTTTTTTTTAACACAAAGTCTCAAGTTATCGCCCTGGAAAGAGTGCTATGACATCATCGTAGCACAGCAACCTCCAACTCTTGGGCTCAAGCAATCCTCTTGCCTCAGTTTTTCTATTTTTAGTAGAGACAGGGTCTTGCTCTTGCTCAGGCTGGTCACAAACTCCTGAGCTCAAGCAATCCACCCACCTCAGCCTCCTAGAGTGCTAGAATTACAGGTGTGAGCCACTGTGCCCATCCTTGAATAAATAAATTTATAAACCTGACCCACAATTTTCTCTATCCCAACCCTGGTACCATTCTGGGTATATTACTTATTGTTCCTTTGATCATATAAATTCTATAATCTTTTTTTCCCCTTCATTTTACCTGCTCATGTCTACAGCTACACTCCAGGCCTGGACATGATCTGGACTTACTTGACCTATCTCGGAACCCTCAATTCCAAGAGCTCTGACGTCAGTCTCTAATCATGCTAGCCTTATTGTTCCACTTCATCAACATCTCTCACTCCCTGATCCACCCACTTTCTTTCAATCTCTCAGGCCCTATTGCTTTATTTCTCTACCTAGCCTAAATCTATGAACTGTCCCTTCAGTCACTCTTGCTGGTGCTCCTGATTCCTATGCCATTCTCTTATAAAAGCAGTCCCCAAGTTATAAACATTTGACTTGCATACAACCCACACCTATGAATGGAGGCTTAAAATCAGTCCCTTTGCAAATACCCAACTAATATATGACTTGCACTTATGAATGAAGGCTATTACAGGTAATAGGTAAATGTATCCGTTCCAACTTACAAATTCAATTTAAGAACAAACTTATTTGACTTATATACAACTTGTAACTATAGAGACTATTACAATAAGTCCTCGATTTACAAATACCCAACTAATGTACAACACGCACTTAAAAATGGAGGCTACTATAGGCAATGGGTAAATCTACTGGTTCCAACTTACATATAGATTCAACTTAAAAACAAACCTACTGCCGGGCACGGTGGCTCATGCCTGTAATCCCAGCACTCTGGGAGGCCGAGGCAGTTGGACTGCCTGAGCTCATAGGTTCATACCAGCCTGAGCCAGATTGAGACCTTGGCTCTAAAAATAGCTACCCCCATTGTGGTGGGTGCCTGTAGTTCCAGCTACTCAGAAGGCTGAAGCAAAAGAATTGCTTGTGCCCAAGAATTTGATGTTGCTATGAGCTAAGATGCCACGGCACTCTACCAAGGGCGACAAAGTGAGATTCTGTCTCCCACCTTCTCTCCCCCAAAAAGAACAACAAACCTACTATCTCATTCATAACCCAGAGACTGACTGTATTCCTGACCCACATGCAGTTTCTATTCTTTTTCTTTCTGTTTCCTGGCCATTTGCCTCAATCATTTGCTCCTTAAATGGTGTTTCCCAGAATTCAAGCTTCAGTTTTCCTTTCCTACAATCTTTCACACATTATCCCAACTTTAGCACAATCTCTTTATTAGACTTGCAAATATACATCTTAGCCTTGACCTCTCCTGAGTTCTCAATTTAGATGTCTCAGAGCCAACTCAATGCCATTTATCCAAACAGAACCAAAATACCAAGGAGGCACTTTCTTCTTTCTTGGAAGCTTCCCCATAGCAGATATACTTCAGTGATATACTTACTATACAGAGTTCTGATAAATCATGGCATTCAAACACCCCATATTTCAACTAAAGATATGATATATTAATAGTTGGGAAAAAAAAATTTGCTTGTTGAGAGTTGGTTGGTTTGCAACTTACATCTCCAGCAGATGCAGCCTGGGAAATAGTGTAAATCCCGAAAAGTCCAGAATCTGAGTAACTGGCATTAAAAGCAGAAACCTGAAATACAGGGAAATGTCACTGTATGATATTCCAAACAGGAAAACAGGGTAGAACTTTCCTAAATTTACCTAAACCAAAATTTGTACCTTCTCAGTCAGTGTAAGTAAATAGATTAATTCATATTTCACTTAACCAGCTCTGTCAAGAGCTAAAGTGTTCTGTATAAAGGTTACCTCTTTCAGAACTATAATAGTTTTGTTTTTTTCATTTAAATCTTTCTAAAATGACTGCTCACTTTCTTTTTTGGCAGGTATTTTCTAACCTTCTTTTAACGATTAACCTTGTTAATGAAAACAGTCATTTACAAACATTATTATATAGCTGGTGAACTTGATTGCCTAGTACAATTTGTTGCAATGTTTATGAGGACCATTTATATAAAAATCACTTGTTATTAAAAATATGAACTTTAGTATTCCTTCAATAGATATACTGACTCAGATCCATGTAAATGAAGCTAGGGAGACTGCATTTGTAATACCACGTGTTCCAGAAGTCTAATGTGACTGGTTCAGTCAATATAAATAATACCTAAGAAGAAATGCTTTTTTTTTCTAATGTGACTGGTTCAGTCAATATAAATAATACCTAAGAAGAAATGCTTTTTCTTTTTTTTTTTGAAACAGAGCCTCAAGCTGTCACCTTGGGTAAAGTGCCATGGCATCATAGCTCATTGCAACCTCCAACTCCTGGGCTCAAGCGATTCTTCTGACTCTGCCTCCTAAGTAGCTGGACTACAGGTGCCTGCCATAGTGCCTGGCTATTTTTTTGTTGCAGCCATCATTGTTGTTTTGCAGGCCTAGGCTGGATTTGAACCTGCCAGTTCAGGTATATGTGGCTGGTGCTTTAGCGGCTTGAACCATAGGTGCCGAGCCAGAAATGCATTTTAATTACTTGAAGTTTAATTAATTCTGAGACTATCCTATTTTCATATTCTAAATTTCTCAACTAGGAATTTCTATTACATTATGTCATTGGATTAGAATTAAATTCCAGCCACATAAAATCATCAGTAGCACTCAACGATGAAAAGTAAAGCATGGCTCGACGTCTGTAACTCCAGCAGCTAGGGCGCCAGCCATATAGCTGGGGGGTTCGAAGCCAGACCAGGCCCACCAAACAACAATGACAACTACAACCAAAAAATAGCCAGGCGTTGTGGTGGGGACTTGTAGTCTCAGCTACTTGGGAGGCTGAGGCAAGAGAATCGCTTAAGCTGAAGAGTTGGAGGTTGCTGTGAGCTGTGACGCCACAGCACTCTACCCAGGGTGACAGCTTGAGACTCTGTCTCAAAAATTAAAAAAAAAAAGAAAAAGAGAAAAAAAAGTAAAGCATGAAGAAAAGAAAACAGTTAACAATGAATCGAGAAAGAAAATCTTGAGGAAATTTAAAAAGCAGCAGCTAAATTTAATTTTGGACTACTATAATTGCTTTAAAACAGTGATCTAGGGAACCCTAAGACTCTGTACAGAAGATTAAAAGGGTTTCAGAGTCAAAAGCCTTCACAAAAATTCCTGTAAAAAGTCAAACTTCTGTGTTGTGCATTGTAGTTGGGAAATTACATGATTTAAAACAAGGGTCCTTTAAAAAACAAAACAAAACAAAACAAGGCTCAGCGCCTGTGGCTCAAGTGGCTAAGGCGCCAGCCATGTACACCCAAGGTGGCGGGTTCGAATCCAGCCCAGGCCTGCCAAACAACGACAGCTGCAACCAAAAAATAGCCGGGCGTTGTGGCGAGCGCCTGTGGTACCAGCTACTTGGGAGGCTGAGGCTCGCTTGAGCCCAGGAGTCGGAGGTTGCTGTGAGCTGTGATGTCATAGCACTCTTCCCAGGGGGATAGCTTGAGGCTCTGTCTCAAAAAAAACCCAAAACCCCCCAAAAAACCAAAAAAAACCCCCCCAAAACAAAAAAATTACCTCTTAAGTAGTAAACAAAAATAAAAACAGAATAAAGTTGATTTTAATTTTCACTGTTGAGTGTCAAATGACCAAAAATTTAACTAAAGCATAAACCTATTTTTGCCATGTCCCATAGCTGAAATTATGAACAACGCTCATCCTAGAACTTAGTAAACTTATTGCCTTTTAAAAGCATACCGTTGGCTGGGCACCCGTAGCTCAGTGGTTAGGGCGCCAGCCACATGCTCCAGGGCTGGTGGGTTTGAACCCAGCCTAGGCCTGCTAAACAAACAAACAAACAAAAAATTGCCGAGCATTGTGGTGGGCACCTGTAGTCCCAGCTACTAGGGAGGCTGAGGCAAGAGAATTGCTTGAGCCTAAGAGTTTAAGGTTGCTGTGAGCTATGATGCCATCGCACTCTACCAAGGGTGACAAAAAAAAACCAAAAAGCATACTGTTCAGGTCATGTAAAATATTACATTGGGTAAACAATGTTCACTTAATATAAAATACTTTTTTGGCAGACATTTTACTGATTTGAGTATCATTATTTTGAAAGCATTAGCACCTTCCTCACTGTCATAAAAAGGTGTCTTCTAAAGTAATATGAACTTTTTGTTATGGTTAAGTGCCATTATTTTTCTTTTTTCTATCTTTTCAGGAAATGTTTAAAAATATGGAATGCTTCACAAATTTGTGTATCATCTGTGCGCAGGGGCCATGCTAACCTTCTCTGCGTCATTCCAATTTTAGTATATGTGCTGCAGAAACAAGCACCATTATTTTTCTTTTTAAACTTAATCTCAAGTTAATGCAACAGGTCTGTAAACATTTCTTGGTATATATCTTATCCACTTGGTTGGAAACATAAAGATCAGTGAAATTAAAGAAGTAGCTATAGGAACCGAAAGGGATGGAAAAAAGACTTAGTTAGAATACAAGAAAATTTATTTTTTAATTTTTTTTTTTAGAGCAGAGTCTTACTTTGTCACCCTCAGTAGAGTGCTATGGCATCACAGCTCACAGCAACCTCCAGCTCTTGGGCTTAGGCGAACTCTTGCTTCAGCCTCCCAAGTAGCTGGGACTATAGGCACCTGCCACAGTGCCCGGTTATTTTTTTGTTGCAGTTTGCCCGGGGCTAGATTTGAACCCACCATCCTTGGTATATGGGGCCGGTGCCCTACTCACTGAGCCACAGGCACTGCCCAGAATACAAGGAAACTATTATCTAAAGCTGTATTACAATAGGAAGCAAAATATGAATTTCTTTTATTTCCAAGCACTTGATTCTTTTTTCTACAGTAGAATAACTGAAAAGACAGCTTGTTTTTTTTTTTTTTTTGAGACAGTCTTACTTTGTCACCCTTTGTGAGTTCCGTGGCATCATAGCTCACAGCAACCTCAAATTGTGGGACTTAAGCGATTGTCTTGCTTCAGTTTCCCAAGTAGCTAGGATTACAGGCACCTGTCACAACACCTGGCTATTTTTATAGACAAGGTCTTGCTCTGGCTCAGGCTGGTCTCCAACCTGTGAGCTCAGGCAATCCGCCTGCCTTGGCCTCCCAAGTTCTGATATTACAGATGTGAGCCACCATGCCCGGTCCTGACATTAAGTTTTTGATAGATTCACTAAGGTACTAATATCAAGCCTGGATATCACTTTAATTGTACAAAAATTTTCTGTGCGTTGGCCTTAAATTTTAAGAACAAAATAACATTTAAGAGCAAATTATCAGAATTCTATCATAAATACCGAGGCTTTGAAAACAAAAGGAGAGATATCAGCTCCTTAGACTCACATCAAATGGCTGGTGAACTCCCTTGGCAACAGCCTGGTATAGAAGGCTGGTGGTATTGCTGCCCCTCTTGACATGTGGTCCAGCACCAAGCACATGCTGAAGAAGACTGAATGCATTTGCTTCTGCACTTCCTGAGGCAGCACCTTCTGCTACAAGAGCAGCGTGGACAAGACTGTTTCCATTCTGTTCTCGAATTTCACCTGGGATTACGTAGGCACAGGTTGAAGAAGAAAATGGCTTACCAGTTAATACTATGCCATAGTATTAACTCACCAAGACTAAGCTTTTCTGTGGCCTTCTGCTTTCCCCATGCTATTCTACCTAACACATACACAAAGTCAAATGTATACTTACTATGTAACTCCCAAGCCATCCGATTGTAACTAAGACTTTTTGGTAGTAAATAATCAGCCATCCGATTGTAACTAAGACTTTTGGGTAGTAAATAATCACCTATATACAGCACCCCAACATGCTGTTCTGGTATGTGTGGTGGGAATTATTTCTGTTGAATCAAACCTTACAGAAAAAAATAGTACTTACCCCCACGGTATCTGGCCTTGGCACCAGTTAAACCAAGCCCTCCCCTCATGTTGAGAAACTGTTCAGCAATTTGCTTAAGAACAGGATGACTCACACCTGTTTCAAAAGAAACAAAAAAGCTAGAACCAGAATTTCTAAAACACCATTGTAAAATATTTGCTTTTTCCTTGTTTTAAAAATGCATGATTATAAAATTCAAACATTACAGAAATAAACAGTAAAGAATACATGTCTTTCCACCATAATGTTATGGTATGTTAATGTTATGTCCCAGAGACATCCACTTATAGTTTACTATTTATTATATACTATTTACTATTAATGTAGAATTTTTTTCTGTGCAGTAAGTATTATCCTCATCTTTGTTTTTATTCATTTATTTATTTTTCAGAGACAAGGTCTCACTCAGTTGCCTGGCATAGAGTGCAGTGATGTGATCATAGCGCATCACTGCAACCTCCTATTCCTGGGGTCAAGTGATCCTTCTGCCTCAGCCTCCTAAGTAGTTGGGACATACACCATCTCACCTGGCTAATTTTTCTATTTTATAGAGATAGAGTCTCACTCTTGCTCAAGCTGGTTTGGAACTCCGGACCTCCAGTAATTCTCCCACCTTGGCCTCCCAGAATGCTAGGATTATAGTGTGAGCCACTGTGCCTGGCCTCTTTTTATTTCTAAAATGCTATCATTCTATAGGCACTGTTTCTAACTTGTCTTTTATAATTTTCATATTTCTATATCAAATACTTAATGGCTATATAGAGTCCCATTCTACTGATGTACCATCATTTGTTTAATCAATCTCTTCTTCATGGACATTAGCATGTTTTTAATAGTTGACCATTAAAACAACATTGCACTGTGCATCAAAGGACACTTAATTAAGAGGGTGAAAAGACAACCCGTGAAATGGAAGAAAAATATTTGCAGCTCATACATCTGAGAAGTGCTTAGTATCCAAAATATATATGGAACCCATACAACTTAACACCAAATAAAACAACTGAAAAATGGGCTAAGGACTTGAATAGACATTACTCCAAAGAAGTTACACAAATGTCCCCAAAGCACATGAAAACATGTTCAGTGCCATTTGTCATTAGGGAAATACAAATAAAAATCACAATGACCATGTTATACCCTCCAAGATGGCTATAATCAGAAGATAGACAATCGCTGGTAGGAATGTAAAATGGCAAAACTACTTTGGAAAACAGTCTGGCAGGTCATCAAATGGTTAAACAGAGTTACCATTATGTCCTAGTACCTTTACTCCCAGGTATATGACCAAAAGAACTGAAAACTGGTATTCTGAGAAAAATTTACACATAAATGTTTATATACACAATAAAGGCAGAAAACAACCCAAATGTCAATGAATGGACACAAATAGAATGCAGTGTAGAATATTTTCCAGCCACGAAAGGAAATGAAATAATGATACATGCTATAATAATGGATGGAACTTGGACCTTGAAAATACTATGCTAAGTAAAATAAGCCAGTTCCAAAGGCTACATATTGCATGACTCCATTTATATGAAAAGTCCAGAACAGTCAAATCCATACAGACAGAAAGTACATTAGTGGATGCTGGAAGCAAGGGGCCGGTGAGAACGAGGAGTGATTGATAATGGTCATGGGTTTTCTTTGGGTGATGAAAATGCTATGAAATTAGATAGTAGTAATAGCAGTACAACTCTCTGAATACATTAAAAAACCACAGAACTGTATACTTCAAATGGATGAATTTTATGGCATGTAAATTATGCCTCAAGCTGTTATTTTCCTTTTTGGTATTTTTTGTTGTTGTTTTCATTCTTTTTCTGTCTCTGCTGCTTGAATCAAAAAGCTGTTATTTACAAAACAAACAAAAATACTGCAAACAAAATTCTCTGTGCAAACTATTTCGTAAACTTGATAAAAGTGTTTCTGTAGAACAAATTCTATAAACTAAAATTGCTGGGTCTGGGAGTATAAACATTTTGAATTTTAACAGATATATTCAAATGGACCTCTAAAAATGTTGTACTACTTTATATTCCCACCAAAAATTTTTAAGAGGACCTGTTTCTTCAAATCCTTCTTAATTTGGGGCAGTGTCAAAATTTTTGTCAATCTCATGGATTGAAATATTTTCTATCATTAGTGAGCCAGACTATCTTTTAAAATAATTTAAAAAAACAAAGAAAACTGAATACACGTACTTGGGTCACTATGAAAGTTTTGAGACAGACTGCACTAGGGTCCCTAATTTCACTTCCAAGAAACAGTTGACATTGCCCTTTCTGAACTTGCTCAGCTTATCAGTGTTAATGGGAAGGCTTCATTTGTTTCTGTCCACACAGATTTTACATTTCTTGATTTTTGTGTACTTCATAATTTTGTAGTAACCCTATACACACATATATTTCTCCCATGAATTGTCTATTCATGCCCTTTGCCTATTTTCCTTTTAAGTTGTACTGCTTAAGATCTTGGCCAAGTGAAATACACCCATGTCACAGGTTTTGTAAATATAGTGAAGAACTCAAAGCAAATATCAGTAATTTACAAATTTAAATTCTGGATTCTGCTTTTCAAAGTAAATGACTAGTGGCCAGGAATGGAAGCTTATGCCTGTAATCCTAGCAATCTGATAGTCTAAGGCGGGAGAATCTCTTGAGCTCAAGAGTTTGAGACTATCCTGAGCAAAAGCCAGACCCTATCTTTTTTTTTTTTTTTTTTT